CCTATTTTGGTAGTCCGTATTCTACTGAAATCATATTAGTATGATTGAACGTATGGGCACTGTTTTTATGTAATATTTTAAAAAGGGGTAAAGTATGTGCCCTTTTTAAAGCAGCTCGCCAAGATACCGGACCATCGTCAAAATCAAATTATATTGTTTTATGTTGGCGTAGATTAGACCATTCTTGTTTTCTTGAATGATTCTGTTCGCCCTTGTAACTGGTGCGCTGGTTTAAGTTCGCTAGTGGACTGTATCTAACCTAACCTAACCTAACCTTCTTATCTATGCTGTATCTCTAGTAAAAATTAAAGGATATGTGCACAGATACCAAATTTATTATCCAAACTCTTATAACAAAACAATATCTACTATATCGACATGCCATCTGTTAACCTATTTTTTCGACCGACTGTCACTCTCGGCTGGCGGGTGGCGACTCTTCTCTTTTTCGGCAAGACATGAAGTGTCAACCGCCAATACAGCTAAGGCCCCGTCTACAAATGCGCGGCAAATTTAAATAATTCTCATTATTTTACATTTCTGAACATATATATTAATCAAATGTTACAATGGTTTTCAATAAGTCGCAAATTGCATTGCCACTGACCTTGGGAATATTTTACATAGACATTATCGGAAACATATAACCAAAGAATATAGACGCGTCTATATTCTTTGATATAACATCAAGATCACTTTTTCTTCTTCGCTTGCTGATTGATCATCAGATTTATCCGACATTGGCGATCACCATTGCGAAGGCTTCTCGATCTTCTGCAATATGGAATAATTGTCCTGCATTTGGTATCTGAGTCCATTCACAAATGTTTTTCAACCAAGAAACTTGTTTTCTTCCTACACCTCTACGGCACTCTATTTTGCCTTTAAGGGTCAGTCGTTATATTTTATATCGACTTCCCCTTACTATATGTACCAGATAAGACATTTTTCGATGTTTAACAGTCTTTACCAGTTCTCTATCTTTGTTGACGCTTCTTAGTAGTTCTTCATTAGTTTTCCTTACTGTCCAAAGTATCTTCAGCATTTGTCTATGAACCCACATTTCCTATTCTTGTTTATGATCGATACTTTTAGCGTCCACACTTCTGTACTATACAAAAGTACGGACCAAGCATAGCACTTAACCATTGTTTGCCTTAGCTCTAAACTGAGATGGTTATTACAAATAAATGACTTCATTTTCATAAAAATAATTTTAGCCATTGCTATTCTACGTTTTATTTCTATGTCTGGATCTAGTTGGTCCGTTATCACAGTTCCCAAATATGTCATTTTGTGAACTTTTTCAACTTGGACTCCGTTTAATTGAAGCTTTGGGATCGGGATGTGGGTCATGACTAAACACTAACAATTTGGTTTTGTTTGAGTTTATTTTAATGCCCATTTCGTCTCCTACCTCGTGAATAGGAAAAAACTCCAATATTCGACCTCTGATTCGTCGTTACCAAAAGCATCGTGAGTACTTACATGCTAATTCATTGTCTTTGATACCTGTGTGGGAAGCTAGCCACAAGAAGTTTACTATTAGGAGGCTTTTTTGACCTTTTCGAAAGTCCAATTTTTTCATTTTCTCCAAGGAATTTTTCGTGTAGAGATTTTTTATGGCTTTACTAATTTTACTGAGACAATCGGAAAAATTACACCTTAGGAGATGTTTTTGAGGAGTCTTTGTTAGGTTTGAACTATTTTTGTTAGTTAGTCAGTGTGGGTACAGTTTAAAATTATTTTTAATAAGACGAATAGCCAAGATACTAGACCAGAAAAAGGGAATCCTTATTACGAATCTCCCATACAAAATAGGAAAGAAAACAAAGAGTATGGAAATGAAGATTCCTAATTTTTTAAAATAAAATGAGATCAAATTTGAAAGTGACTATGAATGTAATAGTATCGACACCAGTATTTCATACCATCACCATAGAAAATAGAGTCTTGTTTTCTGCAGATTTTAATCTAGATCGTCAAGGAAACCATTAAATTAGAGCTATTAAAAAGAAGACAATATCCCCCAATTCTAAGATAAAATTGAGAAAACGTTATTATAAATTATGTATTAAATAACATTTTGCAGAACTGTACTCACAATTTCGAAAAAAATATTTTCTATTAAACCAACTGTTGTATAAGTTGTACACTTTTTTTTAATGATTGGTAGTGATCAAGATCACTACCACTCATTAATAGACTTACTTCTTCCGTTATATTCTCTTTTTCTTCAAACTGGCACTGGTTTTGAAAGTTCAATTCATTCTGCAAAATTGATACCTATTCTTCTTAACTTTTCTATTTCATTTTTACTAATCACTAGTTGCTCCTTCAAAAAAGTAACTTCAGATTCCAGAGTATCTCTTTAATCTTTGTGGTGAGTTGTGTAAAATCGATTTCTTAAAACTACATCTACTAGTATTTCTAGTAGGACTATGCGACTGGCTTCCAGTGGCGACGTGTGACCTTTTTCTAAAGTATTAACAAAACTAGATGTAAACTACATTCATTTTACAAATTCCCAATAGTGAACAAACTATATTATACGTCATTGGAACAAACGCACGTGAAACTCAAACAGGGTCGTACTGAGGTGTATCATATGATTTTTAAAAATATTTACTTTTGAAGCTGTTAGTGGTAGAATTTCTTGAAATTTAATCATTGTTAGCAAAATTTAATGTTCCATTGAAGAAAAATATGCTAAAATAAAATATTCATTAACTGAGAAATATATAACAACGTGAACATTTTTAATAAAGTAGCATTGTTATAAGTTTACCAAAGCATAAAAACATACCATTTAAATTACTCGAAGTCTGAGGAGCTACATGTACTATCTTCGTCTCGATTTATTATTATGGGTTCGATATAGTTCTCTATAAAATTGTCCAACTTCCACATTTTGGACTCAACTTTTTCTTGAACGTGTTCCACACATTTCTGCCACTTAGTTGGACTAATATTATTTGTTACATCATAAACAATATTTTTCATATCTGTAAATTTAAAAGTAGTGTTGTTGCCTGCTACATAATTTTTTACTTCTGCCCTGATGAGCTCAATCGGATTAAGCTCACAATGGTATGGGGGCAGTCTTAACACCATTTTGTTTTGGCTTTTTGTTATCTCACTAATGATATATTTATTATATTGTCCCTTATATTCCTTAACGATAGCCAGCAGTTGCACTTTAAACATGGAGTCCTCAAACACTATATTTTGTGAACCGGAGCAGTATATTTTTGAACCAATTTTCGAAAGATTTCCCGTACATCTCTTGGTGGTCCACACTTTTTTTATTCAAACACCCACAGCTCTTCTGTAACAAACCCATCTTCACTGCCAATGTGACAGATTATTAGTCTTTTTCCTTTTCCTGAAAATTTTATTATTTTAAAATTTACTTGAAGTGAAAAAGCACATAAACATTTACCTGCATGATAATTTAGCTATGTATATGCCAAACTGCATGTCAATCCAAGCGATTCTTTAATATTTATAGCAAAAACTGTGAATAAATTGACCTAAAGAGGAAATGAACGTTTTCGAAACATCAATAAATTAAAATATTTTTTTCTCTTACCTTTATTATAAAGTTATTACCGCAAGCTATTTTTACTTTTGATTAACAAATATGTACTGCATGCTAGAAGTTCACTCAATACTATAAAACTTAATACTAAACACTGAAACTAAACTCTTAAAAATAACACGACCAGTCAATAACTTAACAATAACTATAACATATAACACACAATATATTAACCTAAAAGCCAACACGCTAAAAATACAATTTGAATTTAAACAGACCGGCAAGTTTGGACCTGTAAAATGAGAATCCGTCTGGCTTAAGGCAATAAATGATATTTAATAGCCTTTTGACGAATGAGAGGGCGAATATCAACACGTGCGTTTTTTTTATAGTTGAAAATTTGCTGAACGAATGTACCATAGAAAATCTTTAAAATTTATATTTATATTTATATTTAAAAAGTAAAAAAAATATATTTTAAACCTCCCAAATGTAAGTATTTGTTACTTTTTTATGTATTTTATATTATTTCACTTACTGGACTGGGCGACTGGAGCATCGTATGACAAAACAAGCCTGTGAGATAAAAATAAATGAATCACTAGTCCCAAACAATATGTAATAATGTTCGGAAAAATTTCCGCGGTCAGTTAAATGGAAATTACTCATTTCTCGGGAAGAACCCCGTTAAGAATTTAAAACTCGACGTTTTGGAGCATTTTGAAGTCATTATCAAGAGGGCTATGGTTCCGTTCGAGTTCGGTGTCTCAATCTGCCTACTCCTCTCATTCGCGACGTACCAATATCTTGTTCTCCAGAAAGACGAGAACCGCCATTCGGCACTGAGGTCTCAAACTGCCTACTCCTCAGTATCGAGTAACTCGAGTGTGCATTTCTTTAAATAGTTCGAAAAGTTTTGAGCTAATCAAGAAACAGCCTCAACGAATCTACCAGCATAAATCCAACTTGTTGCTGCTACTTGGGTAAACGGTTTTGTAGTAATTTGTACAAAGCAGCAGCACATTGGACTATTAAAAAAAACAGCAGGTCCTGATAACGTTTGAAAATAAAATTAGACTTTTTAATATGTTCCACTGATTACTCTAAAACCAAATTGAGTCTATGCGCATAACAATAAAAAAAATTGCATCTTGATACTTACCTTACTTAAGTTAGATGCCATTTAATCGAGTATATAGCCAAAAAGCCTGAAACATTTGGTATAAAGTTTTGGCTCGCAGTTTATTTAGATTTTAAATAGGTCGTAATTGGTTACATTTACACCCGCTTTAACCGAAACAGAGACCACAGTGAAGAAAACTGAATACACAGTTTTTTTTTTCAAGAGAACAAACATAAATCGATAGACTCATATTTAAACATTACATATTCAGACTGTTTACTAATTTAACATACATCTTGAATAAAAAATTTCTAATTAGAATATATTTTGTTTCAGTTCTAAGAGATGAGTTCCGTTTCGAGCCGCAAAGTTCTAGAGTAGCTGCTGGTGAAGATATCGTTTTAGAATGTTCTCCTCCGAAAGGGGTACCAGAACCACAGGTGTTTTGGAGAAAAGACGGGCAAACCTTAAGCGTGGATGGTAGGCTAAAATTGGTAGACGGTTACAATCTAGCGATTACGGATACTAAAACGTCCGACGATGGCAAGTACCAGTGCGTGGCGAAGAATACGGCTGGAGTGAGAGAATCATCGGCAGCAATTTTAAAAGTTTATGGTGAGTATCTAATCTAGTCTTTCTTTTTTCCCCTCTCTTTTATTTTACAATGACTATATGAAATAGTAAACAATAAGATAAAAAGATCTTAAATTAGAAGAGTGTAGCAGAAAAAAGAAAGAGAAAAAGGCTGTATAAACCAAAAAAAGAGACGGGTCTATACACTTATACAAAAGTTAGAAGTAAATAACAAAGATAATGTAAAATTATTTCTTGTTTTTCTTTTTTGTCATTTTCACATTATAATCGTCGTTTTAACTCTCCTCAGTTTTCTATTTTCCCAGTTAACTTCCTTGAGATATTTCTTCAGCGTATCATTTCCTATATATGGTTTCCATCTCAAAGCTGGTCTCTCCGTTTTCTTCCTATTCTACTACTCTTTTTTTGCACCAATGGTCTGACATTCTTTGATTCTTCTCCATATTTCCCTTAGACCTCATTCTGCTCCTTCTGGTAATTTGGAGATATCTTCTCATAAAATCCAATTCAACTGTTCTTATTTCATCTCGTATTCGTTGTTGTCACTAGCCATACTATCGCTTCTTATAGGATAATATGTTCTAAGGTGCTGTGAAAGATTTGTTTTATTATTTATATACCAAACAGTTTAATACTTGGAATTTTTACTTGGAAGTTATACAAAGAGACATCCAAGAGAAGAGTAGCAACAAACCAAAACAAAATAAATCACTGGGATACTCCATGAAAGCACTGTTAGTGGGGTAGAGATAAAGATTGAAGACTATGTTCGAAAATGTACAATACTAAATATCTAGAGCCTTCAGTTATTGAGTTCAGAAGTATAGATATTATTGAACGCACTCTGGTAAGAAACAGAACTTCCTGGAGTTACAACAACTGTCAAAAATAAGCAGCTTACTCAAAACACGCAACTGAAAATTTACAGAGCAGAAATTAGATATGGAATCACACTTGGTTCCGAATCAATACGTGTGCTTGACGTAGAAAGGTAAGGAAAGATCCTAGAAAGAAAAATAATTCTAAGAATAACAGATCCAATTAACCTGTTTAATGGTAAAACTTTTGATAGAGAAAGGTATCCTCAGATCTATCAAGAAACAAAGATTTAATGGATGGGTAATTTAGACAAGTGAGGTTCAAAAGCAGTTATCAAGGAAACCACAAAATGGGGACCAATAACAAATAGATCAAAATGAGATGAAAGGACCAGATAATTGAGGACCTTAAGAATAGTGAAGTTAGAAACTGGAAAGCCATATGCCAAAACAGGAAAAAGATTGTAGAAGATGCCAAGTTACACAAGCAATTGTATAACCAAAAAATTAATACGGACAGATTCCCTGCGACAAATAAATCGTAAGAACCTAATCGAGTGTAGATACCATGATGATCTCTTTAATTAAGATAAAACCTAGTGTACGTTATCATCTATTAAATCTGGTTTTAATTATGATTTAACAGATTGACTGCAACTCGTCTACCAAAATACGGAACTATGCATTACCGGTCCCCCGGGACCGATGGGTTTGCGTTATCGACCGTCCGGGGCCGGTAATGACGTAATTATTTCTATATTTGTAAAAAAAATTATTATTAATTATACGAGTTTTAAAATCAATTGTTAAAAGTAAAAACATTTAAAAACTTACTATTACCATCTGTTTTTTTGATCAGGTTTCCTGTTAAAGATGTTTCTTCTTTAAGTGCCATCTCCGCGACGAAGGTTGGCAATCATCATGGCTATTCTGACCTTCGAGGCAGCTGCTCTGAACAATTGCCTTGAGCTGCAACCAAAGCACTCTCTCAGGTTCTTCAATCAGGAAACGCGTCTTCTTCCTACGCTTCTCCTACCCAGTATTTTCCTTGAATTATGAGTCTCAAGATATTGTATCTTTTGCCTCTTATCACATGTCCGAGATATTACAATTTCCTTTCTGTTATTGTATTTTCCATTTCCCTCTCTCTGCCTATTCTACTTAACACTTCTGTATTCGTGACTATATCTACCAATGGAATCCTTAACCATATTTTTTAATGTCCACATTTCAAACGCGTTAAGTCAATTTATTGTATTCCGGTTTAATGTCCATGATTCAGCTCCATAGTAGAGTACACTGTGTACATAGCATTTAATTACCCTTATTCTGAGGGCCAATGTCAGATCTTTGCTGCATAAAATCTTTTTCATTTTCACGAATTTGGCTAGTTCTTATTCAATTCTGAGTCTTGTTTCTGCAGTGTAATTGTTATTTTCTGTGATTATCTTTCCCAAATAAGTATATATTTTTACTGTCTCAATCTGCTGGCCGCTTATAGTTAATATTTCGTTTGTATTTCGTTTGTATATTGACTGTATCGTCGGCATACCTGATGTTGTTAATTAAACTTCCGTTCACTTTTATGCCGACTGTCTCGTTTACCAAAGCTTCTTATATGATTTCTTCAGAATAAGCATTAAACAATAACGGCGACAGTATGCAACCTTGCCTGACCCCTCTCCTTATCTCCACTTCTTCTGACAGTTATCTTTCAATTTTCAAATTTGATCGTTGTAAAGATGTTTAGCAAGATAAATTGTGCATTGAGCGCTACCGGCTCCCAAAGACCGTTACATTGTTTTCTTTTAGAAATATTTCAAACCTTAAGACGCGTATAATGCTGTTTTTTAATATGAACGAACATATGCTTCCCGGAATTTAAAAAAATTTTGCAGTTTTATTAATACATTTTACATTTTAACATTTTAATAATAACCAATATCGGTCCTAGGAGACCGGTAACGCAGTCAACCTATTAATAAAATGTAACAAAATATTTTTCTTATTTTAAACATTGTTTTTATATCGACATTTCCTTCTTTCTTCGGAATGTCACAGATATTCTATTTAGTCTAATACAAAAGAAAACCAATTAATTGATTGACTCTTTTATTTTAGTTAAACCGTTTATGATTCGACCACCAGAAGACATTACCGCAACAGTTGGTTCCACAGTGGAGTTTTCATGTGCAACTGGTGGAGATCCCATTCCAGACGTTCTTTGGAGAAGAACGGCTCCTGGAGGAACGATGCCGCTAGGTAGAGTAAGAGTACTGGAAGATAGAACCCTTCGATTAGAGCAAGTTACTTTACTGGACCAAGGACGGTAAGAAATTCAAACATTGGACTTTAATTGTTTTATTGTCTTATGTTTGTTTTATTTTAGATACTTCTGTGATGCTGATAACTTTGCTGGTGCCATTACAGCATCGGCTCTTCTGATAGTTCACGCCTCTCCAACTTTTACTACAAGACCTCAAGCGCAAGCAGTAGAAGTAGGTAGGGAGGTCACTTTCCACTGTAATGTCAAAGGCAATCCACCACCGTTTGTGTTTTGGTCATTTGAAGGAGATAGGGCATTAGTGTACTCTGGGAATAGCTTTGGAAATTATGAAGCTTTCACTACCACGGAAGGATTTTCTAGCTTGCAATTAAAGGAAGCACAGGTATTTACTTACTTCAAATGTAAATCAGAATAAGTATCGTTTATTATTGCTTTGAGCAATATTTAGAACTGAATAGTTATATTTTTCTTCTTAATATTTATATATTTTTTTTAACATTAGATTTTCTTATCTTCTATTTATTCAACTGATCTTTCTCCGCTTGTTGGTTGTGTCTTTGTATAGGTGTGAAGATCTTTATTTTTTTTTTCTAGTTTTCTCTACAAATTCACATATTAAACCAATTATTTGTATGTGTAGGTTCAGGATTCTGGTACCGTTGTCATATGCTCCGCTATCAACGCTGCTGGATCTATATCTTCCAGAACAAGACTGACAGTAACTTCAAAAGAAGATAGACCGCCTCCAATAATCACGAATGGTCCCGTGAACCAAACTCTTCCGATAGATTCAGTAGCTTACATGTCTTGTGAAGCCGAAGGAAATCCAAAACCTGTAATTTCTTGGTACAAAGAAGGAGTACCTGTGTCACCGTCTCATAGAATAAATATGACTAATCCCAACCATTTGGAGATATATAGCCTACAGAAGGAGGACTCTGGTTCCTATACGTGTGTAGCTTCATCAAGAGGTGGCAAGGCTACATGGACTGGTCATCTACTAGTAGAAAATCCTAAAAATCCAAATATTAATTTCTTTAAAGCTCCAGAAGCAGTTATGTTACCGGGACCACCAAGTAGACCTCATGCTCTTAATCAATCGGAAGGTAACTTACAAAAATGATATTGTTAGCATTATATTAAATTATATTTTTTACAGGAAGCGTTACTATTACTTGGGGACAAAACAACAAAATTGGTTCTTCCAGCCTTCTAGGCTATCAAATAGAATTGTTCGGTAAGGAAGAAGGAATCACTCCAACGTGGACTATCGTCGGTCGCCGAATACCAGGCCCTACCTTCACCCAGCATCTTTTGTCAGCTGGTATTCCATACACCTTCCTCATCAGAGCAGAAAACGCTCATGGAATGGGTCCCCCATCGCAATTATCGGAACCTATTGTCGTAGGACCAGATTCAGCACAGAACTGGGGCAATCCTGAAGTAACTGAACTTAGTGAAGCTAGAGCCAACCTCGTAGCATCCAGCATAGCATCGCTTACTGAAGCCATACCTCTTTCTTCTACTTCCATAAAGCTTGTCTGGTCCGTCAGCGATTCTACCTATGTGGAAGGACTGTATATATATTTTGTGATGTTAGATAACGAAGAAGAAAAGCCTAAGACTTATAGTATGTTGACCGTTTTACATACAGGGGGTACATCGAGTTTTATAATTAATAATTTAGAAAAATGGTCGAAGTATGAATTTTTCTTGGTGCCTTTTTTCAAGACTGTTGAAGGCCATCCTTCTAATTCCAAATCCGTTAGAACCTTAGAAGATGGTAAGTATTTTTCAGATGTTTAGATATTGTTAATGTAATGAAAATCATATCGAAATACGCCGTTTATCTGATTTTAAAAACAATCTCTTCAATATTATCAAAGCTCATTTGATAGATTAAGGGACTAGGTGACTAGAACTTATTGATACCTCCTATTTCTTCGGGTCTTGGCTCAGTGACTGTAAAAATCAAGAAATTGTAAGAGAAGCTATAGATTGATGTTTCGAGTGTATTTTTTCTGCTGCCACTGTATCGAGTTAAAACAATCGACGCCTTTCCATAGGTTTTATCTCCCTGGAAGCCTGTTACACACTATTCTTACAACAGTCAGTTGGCTTACTGGAAATCTTTTATTTATTCGTGATACTTTAGAATTCTGGAAACCTGGATGAGCTGGTACAAGTATTGTGTATGGATACCATGTGTTTATCGAATCACTCAGTACTCTTCACAAGGTGCTTGCCGTCTACAATATAGTGCCTTGCACCTTATTTGTAGGTGCCTCTTGATGCATGTAAGAAAGCCTGATTAAATCTGTCATTCGATCGGGGACAAAACTGTCTCTGGGCCGAAGTATTTTGTGGGTGATTCTATATTAACAAGTTTATCAACTCTTTCCTTGACTGTATAAATGGACTTAATATTATATTGTAAATCTACTAAATGCCTAAATTGACTAAAGTGCCAGTCGTTATTTTGTGGCACAAAATAATCCATCTAATCCATAATAAAATTCGTCGTCAGCAGTCACCCGATTCCGTCATCCACTTCGTCTGCATTGGAATTTTTTGTTGGGTTATTAGGTAGTTGCAAAACGGCCTCTAAAATGTTTTAGTCCGTGAATTATTCAGAGACATACACAAGGATCCATTTGTTCACGCCATTTTCATTCAAGTCTTCACATCCAGGAATCATATGAACCATCTCTGGCGAATTTTCAAAACTTCCTATTTCCTCTTCTTCTAGTAACTCGTACAATTTGCGCCAGCACTTTTGCAGTGTTTCATTTTTTTTCCTTGGGCAAGTTTTTCCCAAGTGTTTTTCCTGCAGAATGGTTTGCAACAACAACCCTCAAAAGTGTCGTTTAAATATTTCTATAACGCCTTGATCGGGAGGCTGAATTAGGGTAGTGATATTTGGAACAAGGAAACGAACAACGATATCATTACTTTTTAATTTACTGAAATGTGCGGGTGCCTTATCAATTAATAAGATAGCTTTTCTTGGGGCAAACCATTTCTAGCTAAAACCTTTTAACTTTCGGCACAAACTTTAAAAAAAACATTCTTTAAATAGTTCAGAACACATCCACACACTTTTCGCGCTTTGTAAAAAAACTGGTAAAGCATTAGGCGCCATATTCTTTAATTCACGTGGTTTTCTAACTTGCCGACACACAATGGTGACAGTCTATAACTGCCTGATACATTTGAAGTAAAAAAGTGCAGTTATCCGTTCTTTATTTATTTTTTTGTTCTATGGCAGCCGTTTTAGTTGCTAAAGTAAGTGATTTTATAGGCAATATCTTAAAACTTACTCCTGTTCCTCAGCATTATACATCTGGTCTTAAGTTCAACTTCAACAATTTCAGTCCTAACAGGCAGAACTGGCACAAAAATCATTTCTTTGCACACCTAACAACTACACCGCTAACAGTTTAGCTTTCTCTTGCTGTATTCGAGCTGTCAGTGGTATGCCTTTTTCTCTGTTGTGTGAACCACAGGTACAAAGTTTAGTTCAATATTTCAAAATCTGATGTCTTCAGTGTTTCTGTCAGAATTTCTTACGGTCTGCTCTAGAAGTAAACTTCCCTATTCAACTTCTTTGATAGCAGCAAATTTGTCTGGATACCATCTCTCAACAGACCACTTCAGAGCACTACACACTAAAATATTTGTTTTCGCTATAGCACTTTCCCTTGATCAGCTTTGTCAAGAGTCAAGACTGAGAGGTTACCTGAACACGTGTGGGGATCTGCTTAGGCAGAGGTCACTATAAACACCATCGACAAGTTCATGCTAGTAGCACAGAACAGAAAACAATTGTTGTTTGTTCTGTGCTACTAGCAACCCCTGTGAGTGCATTGTTTACAATATTGCTGTAGGTATATTTCGCTTCGCGATGTCTTTCAGATAATCCAGGTTTTATTTGACCTGAGCTGAGGTTATTATAAGTTTAAAAATAAAAGTTATTGGTACATTTACATAATTGTAATAATCTGAAAATATTTTGTAGTCCCCACTGAAGCCCCATCCCATATGGAGGCTCTTTTGTTGAACTCCACAGCTGTGTACTTAAAATGGAAGTCGCCGCCTCCAATAACACTAAACGGAGAACTTCAAGGTTATAAAGTAGAAATTAAAACGAACGGTACAGACCAAACAAAGATGATCAGTGTAGGAAAGAAGGCTTCCAGTCTTTTGTTAGGTAGTTTAAGCCCCGGTGTGTCTTATTTTGTAAGAGTAGCTGCTGTAACGAGGATCGGATTAGGGCCTTATAATGCTGCTGCTACATTAAGACTGGAACCTACTTCTAGAATATCAGACAATAATTTCCAAAGGTTAGTATACATCTAAATGATAATTTACTTTTTATATACTTACGTCTCCTTGATTTTAGACCCGTTGGAGCAGATATGCAGTCCGGTGACTTCATTACAGAAACCTGGTTCATGGCTCTTTTAATAAGTATGGTGTCAGTTATGGTACTACTCTTTGGAGCTATGATTTTTGTTAGACGAAGGCAAATGTTGTCCAAGAAGAGCTTAACACCTAGTAGATCTAACGGTGGTGTTCTCACAACTCCTATGGACGTTAAACACGAATCTCCTCTTTGGTTAGATAAAGACAATCTACCTGATTACTCGTCGAGCACTCTACCTGAATATTCCAAGTTGACTCCAGGTAGTCATAAGAGGAAAGAGTATGTTTATAATGGCTCTGTTTCTAATGGGTAAGTGGTTTGTTAGTTTAGAAATGTATTTATACAATTGTGAAGAATTCCGTGTTGTTTTATCCATATGATGAAACAATTTATAGTCAATAGAATAATATCCTTCTGAAATAATATTTCTTGAAACGGTTTTAAAACTCTGTTTTGGTAATACATTTCATGAAAGTCCATTAATTATGGTTTCATCTACCCAAACTTAATAATTTTAGGGTCAACCCTTACGGAAGCGTAAATCTACGTTCGAACCCATTGAACCACAACGATTTCACCCGTCCGGATAATCTTCAATACAGTTCAGAAAAATGCTACCCAATATCAGGTCGCAAATTCGATGACTACCTCAATATGCAGGTGCAGGAGTATGCCAGTCCCAATATCGAATCTAAAGTAGCCGATTATGCCGAGGTCAACGCCAATGTAACTCCAAATATTGACGTTGGTTCCATATCGCCCGCCCCTTACGCTACTACGACATTGGTGGCTGCTGGAAAACGAACGGTAACATATTTTTAATAATGCAATAGTAAATACGAGTATATTTTCAGGACTAGTATAATGTGTACCTAATTATGCCAATATTTTCCAAGTCAACTAGTAGATATTTATAAGCCATAATATTTTTTCCTTGATATTGAATTGAAATATGATCTATTCGTTGTAATACTTATTATTTCGTTTTGATAAAATTTTCTTATTTGTTTCTTAATCCTTTGTATACTGATTGATGTAGTTGCGTTGCCGGAAGATTGCAGTACACTTCAATTATTTCACAACTCAAATGCTTCCATGTGTTTACAGATGGCGCCAGCTAGCATCAAGATCCAGTGGTATTACGCTGTGTTGAAATTGCATAACATTTTAAGGTGACAGTTCGACCAATTATACAAATTTAATTCACGACATATTATATTTATTCTAAAGTCAATTCTGCTTCTATAAAATCATTTTTTTTTCTGTTTTTTATTGTGTCACGAACAGTCCATTTTAATCTCTTCGGAAATATTTTACATAATATTAATTTTCCGCAAATCGCCAGGAAATTTTGACATTCCTGTCAAAATTTCTTGAAGAAAAAGTCAGGACTTCCTTACTGTAAGGAAATGTCATTTCCTTACTGTAAGGAAATGATATTTCCGTACAGTTGTTAGTGTTCTACATAAATGATAGAAAACACATTGCTTATAAGGAATTAATTTATATTTTGAAAACATCAAGTCATTGCTGAATACATTTTTAAGATCAATTTGTTATATTTACAGTAATTTGACAGTTAGTACAATTATTGAACATTGGAGGAACACTCTTAGAACTATGAGAAACATTTTGGACAACATGCAGGGTGGAAGTGTCATTTTGTTGAATATTTTGTACTGTGAAAATTTTATTTGCCACCTCAACCTTATTGTTAAGCGATTCTTCGATATATCCTTCAGCAACGTTTGATGACTTCCATCCGCCATGCCTCTTTAAACTAGTTATGTCGGCACCAGAGTCAACCAATATTGTTGCAGAAGACCGACGAAAGCAGTGACCAGTATATTCTGTCGGATTTACCAAGTTCAAATAAGTAGCAATTATTTTGGGCATTTTTCTAAATTGATGAATTCCTACCACTTATCTACAACCCTTTCCGCTTTGATATTTAAAGAAAAATCGGTCACTGTTCATATTTTCTGGTCTTAACGAAACATACTTTCGATAAACATTCAAGTAGATCTGATTAATTACAAATGATCTTGGTTTGTTGGTTTTCGAATCAGGTATGCTGATTAAAAGCTTAGATTCTAAGTCTTCTATATCGTGTACAGTCATTCAGACTAACTCATCCATTCTACAGGCCCCAGAAATACCAAATATTACAGCCACCTAAAAAATAAATAAAGCTATAATCTAAATAGAAATTAAAACCTTGTAAATTACCTTAATCATTAAATTTTCTTTATCTGGAGCTTCCTGGATAAATTTTTCAATTTCTTCCTTCGTTAAAATCTTAGATTTCTTTGCCCTATAACCTTGAGCTTGCCGTTTCAATAAAGAACGAAGTTTTGAGTATGTAGACTACATTGTGTTTAAGTGCAAGGGTTGACTTCAGCATTGAATAATTGGCCCATAATGTTGAAGATTTCATCTTTAAACAAAGGTCTAGGAAGTATGCCATTACAACATTTTCTGAGAAAGAACTCGTATTTTTACTCATGCGATAATCCATAAAACGTCTGTATGCATTTTCGTACTTTTCTCTTGATTTCTTTGGCAATAATTCTAATGAAGCAGTATTCACTGCCTCAACCAGCTCTGGAGGAGTCCCAGGAATGGAAATTTCATCATCACTTATCATTTTACTTTCGAGAACACCAGCAATTAAATTTATAAGCGTCAAGTTTGACAATTCAACCTCAATACGTTTCCATAGTAACCCAAGTAATTTTATTAGGAATTTCAAAGCACCATTTATTTGGGAATAAAATTATCGCGTTTTTTTTTTAAATCAATCAATATCTGTCGAATTTTAAACGATTTGCGGAAAAATAGTATGTTTACCTCGTAGGAAAAGCTACATTCCTGGACTCTGTGTTGCTAAGTCTCGGCTTGCGCCTCGACTTAGCAATCTTCACAGTCGTCCAGGAATGTTAAGCTTTTCCTACCCGGTAAACAATGTACTATTTGTAATACATTTACTATCTAAAAGTAATAAAATAAAATGAGACCTGTTTGGTCCGGTTTGGTGTAAAATAATATGCCAATGTCATTAATGTTTAATATCATATTATTGTATGTTTTTGATTTATTATGTAATAATGACTAGATTATTTCAACTAAACAACAGTTTAAAAAATATATTTAAAACATGTTGTAGACAATAAACTTCTTTAGTGTTTATCATCGATTTTTGAATATACATCTTCTGCAAATGTCTCCAAATATTCTGTGTCTTATTAATTGACTTTCCTACTATAGCTTTGTATTTTATTATTTCATGGTCTGCACTATCTTTTTGAATTCTTATCTTTCATCTTTCTGCTTGTCGTAGGGTCCAAGATTCACATCTATATGTCAGTATTAAGAATATTAAGCAGCCCAACAAATACAGGCTCCTAAAAAAAGCTTAATATCCGTATCGGATTTTATTGGTCGGTGACAGGGCGGCCTGATAAGTACCTACTTAGCCTTATCCGACCTAAATCTACTATCGTGTAATACATTCTCGCAGACGACTAAAATCAAAATTTCAGCCAGATCGGACTAGTAGTTTTGTTTTGACCGCATGTAAAACGCCACTGTGGAACCAATTCAGAGCCGTGTTTGATGTTATATAAGCGAAATCCGAAGCAGTGTTTATGTCGTTTGGAAACCATCGACGAAACATAAATCCACTGGTACACGCCAGAAACCAAAGAACATTAGAAACAGTGGGCGGACTGTACTATTTGCAAGAAAGGTAATTGTCACAATTTTCGGGGATTCACAAGGGGGGATTTACATCGACTACCTGGAGTAGGACAAAATGTTCACAGGGCTCTACTACGCCGAATTATTGGGCCGATTCGAGTCCGAAATGCAGAAAAACGACCCCATTAGACGAAGAAAAAAGTGCTCTTTCACTATGACAACGCCCCTGCTCATATCTCCGTCACCGCCATAGCAAAATTGGTCGAATTGGGCTACGAAATGTTGCTCCATCCACCGTATTCTCCCAGATTTGGCACCCTGCGACTTTTTTCTGGGCAGAAATATAAGTCGAATGCCGCCACGGAAGCCTACTGTGCAGTCCTTAATAAAACATATTTTTCAGACTAGTTAAAGAAGTTAGAGCATCGCTGGTTCAAGTGTATCGAGCTAAAAGGAGATATGTTGAGAGTATGTCCAATATTTTCATTTTTTTGTAAGCTAGGTACTTATCGGAGCTCCCTAGTATTTATTGAGTTAACGGATAATTATTGTAGACAATATGTTCAGTGGTTCTCTCTTTTTTTGTAGAAACTACATATTTTTCTGTCCATTTTACAGACATTATCTCAATTAGTTTGCAGTCATGCACTCTGTGTTTATTTTTCTGAAAATTTAAGCTTTGTCTTTAAGTAGTGACCAGATGACTATAAAAATGCCTTCAGTTAGTTTTGGTCTTAATAAGTATCTTGCCCAGTAGCCTACACTAAGCGTCTCTTCGCATTTTTGGATAATCTACAATACGGCTTGATGGTATTCCGCAAAATGATTCTAGTTCAATAGGTGATATTATAGTCCTCTTTAGACAAGACTACAAAGAATTTCGTTACCAGCACTTATACACAACATTTATAATCTAGTGGCCTTAATTAAATTATTGTTATCACTTAAGGGAATGATTGTGGTTCAAAGCTGTTACAAAGTCACAAGTTGTAGACTTCAGAGTGCAGCTTGGCTATCTGAGGCAATAAGTGATTTCGACAAATTGAGGAATTTTTGAGTGACTCTCGAGCACAAAACTCTTTTGCTAATAGTTCTGTTTAAAATATTGTAGAAGTGTTTCTGAAGGCTATTGAGAGTCTGGTGTTAGCCCATATTTCTACTCTTTCCTATCTTTGTTTAATCAGAATAATACATAAGAGTTCCAATAATTTAAGTGATTTTGGTCTTATCTCTCACTCCTTTATGATGGTATTTATGTGAGTTGTTTTCCAGACATTATGTCTGTGAGAATCTTCATAGATTACGTTTTCCAACTCTTCAAATCTTTAGATGCCCAATCAAGTCAGCATGTTTTGGATACTAAGCCTGTCTTACCCTAAACGCAGTTTCTGTATTGATCATTTTTATATATTTACATGTCTATGTAGAGGAGTAGGTTTCCCATCAAGATGATATTGGCGCTAGCTTATTTTTTTACCTGATACATTTGAACTTTATTATTCCCATGCTTTTGCCATTATCTTTGTCTCTTTCGTATTTTTTATTACTACTGTAAATAACTACAAAATATATTATGTATGTATTTTTAGCAATGGAACAACTTCAATTCAGACTTAGACGATGAATGCCCGTACCCTTCGGCTAATGGAGGATACTATAACCGCAAAGTGTATTCTGACTCGTATTTTTCGCCTATCCAGACACTGAGGAGGAACCGTAACAATAAGAAGCCTCAACAAAATCCACCTGACATAGTTTCGCCATCCAGTTCTACAGGTAAATATATATTTTTAAACAAACTGATCAGCATCTCATTCTTTTTTACTAAGGCTTCCATGAAAAAAAAATCCGAAAGACCTGTTCAAAGCCAGAGCCAGAACTTGTGTCATATAAAACCACAGAGCACATATAAAAGGGACATGAAGATCATCCTGCCAGGATCTATATAAAGATGAACACATATTCACCAAAAATATCTTGAAATAAAAACGAAAAGCGAAATAAAACTTAGGATCAATACAGTCTATATAATACAGCTTGTATATGGTAATAAAAAATTTAGCACAGGGTTTGCGACTGGCGCATATCGTGATTATCGATATTGGGCACATCCTGAAGGGATTCCAGCAAAAAAAATAGCTTCCTATGGAAAATGTCCAATCCAAAACAGATCCCGCCCAGACTAATTATCTTTTTTGTGATAATAAATTCAGTTGTTTTGATTATTTTGATATCTTAGTAGCTTTTTACGTATCTTATACCAATTGTAATTATTAATTGTTAAAATTTAGAGTAAACCTCCTTATCTGATACTTTTTTTACTTAAAATGTTTTAACAACAACTGAACTTTTTAGGTCAACCAGTATACGCTCGAGTCGGACCACCAGGTTTGTCGTGGAGGAGCGAGGTGCCATCTATGAGTAGTTTTACACCTCACAAGCAGGTCTACCACCACGGATCCAGCAGATCTGAACCGGGAAATATGTAATTTCTCTTGTTGGGAGCAATTTTGTCGTTACATAATGAGTTTTTCAAAAACTAAATCAATTTCACTACTTAATGGTTTGTAGATATGATATAGAATAAGGAATGCTAAAAAACATTTTAGTATTTGGAATGTTTTTGTTGTTTGTATTCTCTAGAGACCTAACAATATAAGTTGGTAATAAAATAAGGATATTTTTGGAAAAAGTAAATATGTGATCTGTAGTTTAGAACAAAATTCTTTTAATTATCTAGAAACAGCAGAAACAATAAATAGATTAATCAATATGCCATAAATGACATTTTTATAAAATATTTGGTTTAGGTTTTGAAAATACTTTTAAAAAGTTGTAAAAATGAATAAGAAATTTCATTTTTTCATTACGAATGATTTAGTATCCATATATTTATCATAAATCGAAAAATATGGTTTCTAAATGTGACAAAATTGTATATTAAAGAAAGACTGAACTATTTAAAACATTTTTATTAATTTGTGTATGACCAAATTATTCAGAAATGGTTAATGGTAATATTTACTTATTTGTAATTTTTGTAGAATTACCTACTTAATTTTATATTAAACGAGAGTCATCATCACAGTGCTACAGCCCTTAAATCGCCTCGACCTTCTCAAGTTTTCTACACCATTCTGCTCTGTCCATTGATTGGATTTCACAGTTGGCAACAACGATCTTCTCAGCAGCGTGTCTATTCACCTAAGTTTTGTCTGTCCCGTCTTCTTGTTCCCACTGGCTGCGCTGTTAAAACTTTTTTTATCATCTACAAGGACAATGAATTTACTATATAATAAATCACAAAAATTTTATTTAAAAATTATTTACAAAAGATATAATAATATAAAATAACCCTTTCGGATTATATCACAGAAAGTTGTCGGGATGACAATTCCATTATTAGTGCTTTTACCTAAAATAACTCTCTAAGTAGGTATGCTAACCCTATATTAACAAAAGTAGTGAAAAAACGTGGACTAGAATGGCTCAGACATCAAGAAAAAATGCAAGGTAATAGACAACTTAAGAATATTGGTTGTACAGTACCTACCTGAGGGCAAAAAAAGAAAGGAAGACCAAGAAAGAAATGGAGAGATGTAATGATGGAAGATGTCAGAGAGATGGGAATCAGGTATTTTAAGCTGACAGTTAAGAACAGAAAACAATGGAAATTATACATTCAGTAATGGGCCTAAGAGGCTGGTAACGCTATACATACATACATACCTTTTATAAAGGATTTTTTAAATAAAATTTTTATATTGTGTTCGATGTCCTGTCCACTACAGACGGTTTCACTTAATTTCCATACCTTTCTTTCAAAAATCGATAGAGAGGATTCTTTAGTTAGCTTCTAGGAATTTGACAGTTTTAGTTTTTTTATAGCAATTTTCACTTCCTCGGTCGAGGGGGGTCCACAAATTCCTCAATTCGGTACTCCAGTCCTATGTTGTTCATAGGTTCCCTTCCAGCAATTCTCGAAAGTGTCTTACTCATTGTAACAGGATATTCTCTTTGTTGGTAAGCAAGATGTGATCTTTATCATTACAGATGTTTATTGTCAGCTTGAATTACTTTATTTATTAACCACTCCAGTTGTCTGCTGCTGCATGTGTGCTTGGCTATTGATGCAGCCACTTTGGTTCGATTTCTATGGTACGTACTCCACTTCATTTATTCTAGAAATGGATTATCTTACTGTAAAGTGTATTTTTACGAATATCATGATTCTTTTTTCATCACAGTACTTGTGATGTTACCATCTGGTTAACGTTTAGTCCTTATGTTAAAGACTATGAAACATCTTAAAAAGAATATAATTAAATTTAACATTTGTAGTGTATAAAATGAACATAAAAGTAAAGTTTCACTATTTTTTACGAATATAAAATGAAGTGAAAGTACCTATGAATGATACCTACTCAAATTATTTAACCAAAAGAATTTTGACAGAACAAATAAGGAGTATTTATTTTTGGAGCCTCCTAAAAGTAGATACTACCCAGAAATTTATATAATGACAAGGCTATCTTTTAGTCAAAAGAAATAAGGTAAAAAAATACCCTGTGGGGACTTTGACCCGGTCATGTATCTGAGAAGTTTTATTGAGTATGATGGACCTCGATAACCCAAATCTCAATGTTTTCTGCAGTGGGTTCGATGGACTTTTAAATTATTAACAATTTAAGAAAAAACGGCTCTATTTTAAGAGCTGTCGTCGCAGGAAATATAGAAGCTTGGGTTATAGGGGTCCAAAAAAATTGTCAGATATCTGGCCGGGTCAAAGTCACCGGAAAACCTTATTTATTTGGACTGTTTGCTATTTGGGTAGGTGCACAAGACAAATAAGTAAGCTCTTACTTTTAACATTAATCTATTACACTTTACCAAATAGTAGAACTAAAATACTTAATTAAAACCATTTAATGATTCTTAGTATTTTTGTTATTTGTTACTCTGATTAATTTGGTCAATCATTAAAATCTAGTCACGTTCTTGTTACGAAACATTGATACTGTAAAAACTGTTCGTCCATACACACATCCTAATATTAAGTATTTCTAGTAGGATATTATCAAGTCGTTGGCTTGTAAATGTTTTTCTTTTACCAAATTACCATATTTTGTTACTTAAATATTAATCATATAATTAAAAAGACATCTAAACAGAAAACAATTCGAAATGATAAATTACTATATTGTTTTTTTTTTCTATGAATATGTCCTAAACTTAAATTAAAGTAAAATGGTTCAGACATTTTTTTTTTTTTTTCGAAATGGTGTTACTTTTTTATTTATTTTTTTTCAACAAAAAAAACATCAGAATTAATAACCAAAGTAAAAATATCATACAGATATTTACAAAAATCAGTGGATAAAACATTACACAAAATTATTGCAGGAGAATAGACCGGAGTATATCTCACAAGACCCTGTAGCAAAATTAACGGAGGAAGCCCAAATCTTAAAAAAAGATATAACTAAAGCACGAGAGGAAGCCAAACACAACAAAGCCGCAGGATCAGAGCACATACGAGTGTTCTTGAATAAAATCGAAGCAGGAGAGGAGATTCAAGATGAACGGAATTTATCATACATGTCCTCCATTTTCAAAAATGACTACCAAAGGTCAACAAATAACTATAGAGAAATCAGTCTAATACCTTCAATAGTAAGAATCTTCTCCACGGTTATAAAATAAAAAATAGATGATACCAGATCTGCTATAAGATGGAAAACATACATAGGAAATGCTATGATGATAGAGGCCTCAGAGAATTTGACTTTGAGAATATAGTGCTGTGGTAGAATACACTGATGTGTGTATACGCGACAAAAACGAGGCAAAAGATAATTAGGGAACGTTAGGATGCTTTGAAAGTACTGTATATGATACCGACTGGGATAAATGATAACGACTGAAAAAACAAGTTGAATTGCACTTAATAAACGAAAAATCTTGGGTTAAACTGAGTCGCCTATAATATCTAGATCCTCTTATCAGGATGGAAGAATCGATCACAACAGAAGTAGGATTTTTGCAGCAGCCTTTTTTTAAAGGCTAAAACGATATTAGATCGTATTAAAGAGGACTTGAGAAACATCGACTGTGTCACGTGAAATGAAGTTGTTTAGTAGACCAAGACCCACAATGCACTTTAGACTTAGTAAATAAGAAGAGGAAGATCCCCCTGTATTGTCAATGACAAAAAAAATGCGATAAATTTAAAAAAGCTAACAAGACTAGGACTTTTTCGGTAATCAGTGTGAAGAAAAAAAGAAGGAAGCCCAAAATAAAACGATATTTAGATGACATCGAAGAAGACTTGCGAAACATGCTGTGCCACGTGGAAACAAAGGGTTCTAAATAAAAAAATAGAAGAAAGTTATTGAGAAGACCAAGACTCGCAGTTTCCTGTGGACTCAGAAAATAATAAGAAGAAGGCCGTCATTGTCAATTATCACAAAATACGACAAATTCATTATATTAGCAACCAAACATTCCATGTTGGTAACTGCGATATAAATGGTAAGTTCCTGAACAACTACTGATTAAGCTAGTACGCCATAAAGGACTCTGTAAAGTTTTGAACGAAAGATACTTACTTTTGGGAGTTAATGATTATGCTCTTACCTCTGGATCGCTTTGGAGGCACGTTACTGTATATAATTGCTTTGTTATTGTATATTAAATATATTACATATTTTAAGTTACAATTTCTAATATTTCCTTTTTACATTCAAAGTATTTCAGTTTTTTTTTTTTTAATTTTTAGCCTTATTTTGATGATTTTTTTAGCACACTGTAAAAACTGATAAATTTTAATTTAGTTTAAAACATTCTGCAGAATAATTCCGGTAGCGGATTTTCGTAACACCTTGTTTTTCGGTTGCAACCATGTCTTCTAAGAATTATGTTTTTTTTTCACAATTACATTACATTACACAATTTACGACTTTTCCTATTATTATCATTATCTTTTGTATTAATTTGTAATACGACGATGGGGGCTTTGGTGACTGATATCGAAGGAATGTCATATCGACATCCCAGAAGCACTGTATTTAAATAATGATTAAAAGCAACGATATGATCTTGGTTTTAATGAACAATGATAACAATAACAAGATTTATAAAAAATAACTTAAATTTAACTTAACCTAAGTACGCAAATAACAAAAATAACTTAACTTTCTATTGCCCCTCCTAGCCTCTATAACTTCCTATACACGTCGGCTCATGCTGTCTATGAGGTTGCGAATATCATCTTGCTGAATGTTTTGTTATTCCTCTTCTAGAGCCAAGCGAAATTCGTTAATTGAGGCTGATGCGACGTCGCGACCTCTAATATGTCTACCAAGCATATCCCAAACGTGCTCTATTGGGTTCAGGACTGGCGAACACGCTGGCCTGTTCATTTTATTAATACCAACTTCCTCTACATATTGCGTGACACACATAGCAGAGTGGGGTCGCGCATTATCGT